TTTCGTCCTCGACCAAAGGAGGAGGAGGAGGAGACGAGATGGGAGCGGACACCTCAGGTTCAGATGGAGGTGGAGGCAGAGGCTCATCAACGACTGGCACATCAACGGGTACCACAGCCACGTCCAGGCAGCGACTAGGCTGATGGAGCTCTTCAAATGTCAGCTGTGGAGCAGGAGATGGAGCTGCGACAGGCTCCGGTGAAGGAGGTGGATCAAGTTCACAGGAAGGAGGTAGATGGAGCGCCGCAGTCAAAGGTGGAGTTGCTTCTTTAGCCACCGAAGGGGGTGGAAGTAAAGGTTCCAGTTGAAGAGGTAAGATCGCAGACTCAACTGGCGCCGAATCAAGTGGACATGAAGCGATTTCTACTTCAGGAGGCGCAGGTTCAACTGCTGGTGGAGGTTTGAGAACTTCTACAGGCGGCGGTGAAGGGACGATGCTTTCGGGTGGTTCAGCTGCTGGAGATGGAGGTTCAGAAGGTGTGGCTGGTGGTGTGACAGACTCGGCGGAAGGAGGCGCAACCGTTGTTTCAGATAAAACTACGTTCACTGATTCGACGGGCAGAGAAAGCACAGCTGGATCAATGAGCTGTTCCCCAACAAGTGGTCCTCCATATCTGAGAGGTGGGACAGGGGTTTCAGGTGGAGGGAAAACTTCTGGCTCTACGGGTAAAGAAGGTGGTGGAGTTTGAGCAGGTTCAACAACTGTCTTGTCTTGTGTGGTAACGGATAATGGTGGAGAGGGAGGTGACACCGGGACAAGGAGCTCAGACAGAGGAGGAGAGATTGTCTCTGCAGGTGGTGGTGGTGGAGGAGGAGTCGGCGTTGCTTCAAGTTCAACAGATGTTGGAGGAAGGGAGTGAAACTTGACTGGAGGAGGAGGTATTAGTGTTATAGGAGGAGTCAGGGGAGCAGACTCTTGTGCTAGAGCTACATTTGGAGTTTCTTGAGGAGGAGGTAGTAAAGGAGAAGGTGTAGGTGCCAAGAGTGGAGCGGGAGGATCGGGGGATGAAGCAGACGATGGAATGGGTGTTTGTGTTTCAGGTAACAGTGACGGAGGAGACGAGGGAGGCTCCATGGCTGATGGAGGAGGAGTATCTTGAAGGGAAGTCGGTGGAATGGATGAAGCAGCTGGAGGTGTCATATGATCAGTAGGGGGCGTGATCTGTGAGGTTGGTGACTGTGGTGGAGAACCTTCCTGCTGTGCGACCTGAGGATGGACGACCGATGAGGGTTGTTTCATCCTGTTGACGACTCTGGTTGAAAGCTGAGGAAAAAAAAAAACAAAACCACAAAATATGCACTTAGGTCTGTTTAGAGGAGGAGCAGGAGGATCAACAGCAACCTGAGATGGCTTTATTTACAGTAAATGTAACAGTTTTGGACATTCTTGTAACAGTGCTTGAACGGTTTGTTGTTTTGAGTAGTTTAAAATGTAGAATTCTGATGTTATCAGTAGATAGACACATTTAGATAAAAAGCCTTCGGATGTAAATGATTTAGTTTAACTGCTAAAATGATTGAATTGTATTAAATAATTATGTTGTACCAACGAATTCAACTCAAAAACTAGGTCACAGTCTCTGTTTAGAACACACATTAGTGTCAACAAATAATAAAACAAAAAAAAAAATTATGTAGCAGTAAAAATTTCTTCGTGGTTATTTTAAAATTAACAGATATATAAGTACTAGTTTTATTAGTACTAACAATTTGGGGAACTTTTGAGTACCTCTTAGTTTTCCAAAAAAAAAAAACAACAACGTTTTGCTTTATCAATTCTGCTTTATCTAATTAAAGGAAACAACATTAATAATAATAATAAGTCGTGTGTCTGTGTTTAAGGTGCAGTGTTCAAACTCTCCACACCTCCATGAACCCTCACTCACCCGAATGCCCTCCACCAAAGTGATTCCTCCTCCTCCATTTTCGGTGGAGAAGTGACTGGGACTGTTTCCACCCATCCACACTCTGTGTCAGCCCTCGCCGTCAATAAACAACACAACAATGTTTGATACACACGCTAACGTGAGGTTATGCTGAGAAATACACTGCAAACAAGTATCGAAAAACGCCCCCTACTCTTAAACAAGTTGGGCTGCTATTGGACAGAGCTCAACAAGGTCTCACTGGATTGGTTCAGAGATTCTCAGCATCTACACAGTGAGGCGTGAGGGAACATTGTGTCCCTAAGATTAAAACGTGAAGTACAAAGTTAAATCAATAAGTATTAAACATAAAAAGGTTATCTATTTAAAAGGAAAAAAAATGTATTTTTTCAAGACGTTGGACATTGAAAAACACAATTTTGATGTAAAAAATGAAAATGAGAGAGAAAAATATAAACTTTTGCTTGTGGTTCCTAAGAACAGCAACTCCTACGAAACACAATAATATTGTAGCTGAAAAAGTATTAAAATAAAGTCTCTGAAAACTATAGTCAATTGAAAAGGGTCACTGTGATACATAGACATATATTTAATAAATTAATTCTAAAATAAAGATGTATTTTTAACAAATTCAAACCCAACATTTAGCACATGATTCGACTTGTCTTTTAATGAACAAACTATAATAAACCTATTTTAGCAGTTTCATTTTCATAGTTCTTTTTCTGATTTATTTAATTTTAAATATTGTTTTAACTTGTATATTATTATTTAGCAATCTAATTGTACAATACATCAAAGCAAAAATAAATAAATAAATAAACAAATACAAATTAACTGAGCTAATGACCCATATTTGTAGCCATGTTGTGATTTTATTGGAGTGAGTGCAAACATTCCAAGCACGCTGTGACAGGCTGGGGAACACTGGTTCTAACTTGAGGGAATACAACATGAATACATTAAGTGAAAAACAAAACAAAAGCACAGTACATTAAAACCAAAGTTACATCTGCAGGATAAAAAAAATACTAGACTTGATTCTCAACCACAGGCTTCAGTGAAATCTCACTGATTCACATCATGTATGAGGTAAAAAAAAAGAGGTAAAAAAGGCTTGAGGTAAAAAAAATAAATAGAGACTAGACATATCCAGCATTAAATGCCCTCCATGCTTGGTAATAAGACAGTAACATGGTAATAATGGTAACAAGTATAATGAAAATATCATCATACAAATTAAATTACATGAAATGTTAATCGTTTGGGTGACAATGAACATTACGTAAACATTTAGAGTGTTTAGAATATCCATGAAATTACACTTAGTTGAACGCCCACCAAAAACTTCCATTTCCCAAAGATAAAAAAAGTTGGCGCGACAAGACAGTCATTTAACATCAGCTGAGGAGACACAGTGAGCACCATATATTCAACAATAGATGATTGAAATACAACTGCTAGAAAGGAAAAGAGAACATCAGGGAAGGATTAGGAAAATGTAAGGAAAGGTTGGGTGATAGCAGAGGATGTTGATAGTCGGATAATATTTAGCAAAATCAATTCACTAGTTTAAAGGTGAAGTTTCATTTTGTGAAAAATCCACATGACCTACAAAATGAAACCTTTTTTTTTCTCTACCAATTTGAGAGATCATTTTAAGCATGGAGTCAATTCAAGTCTAACTGAAATGTTACTAATCATAATACTGCACACTATTGAGGATTAGAAACCTAACGAGCTCTGAGGCTCTGGAGTAAAAATGAACAACGCGTTATTTAGAGCGACCAAAAATAGCTTTTAAGACAACTTTTAAAAAAGTTTTTTTTTAAAAAGAATTTTCCTAAGGACAAAAAAAACAAAAAAAAAAACAAAAAAAGTTTTTTTTTAAAAGAATTTTCCTAAAGACGAAAAAAAAAACAACCAAACCCCAATAACACGTAATTAAACATAATGAGTCCCCCCCCAGTCTGTTTTATGTACGATGGCATTTATCTGCAGTGTTGCTGCCCTGTGTCTGTATTTTTTTTTTTCACATATAAAACCGGTTTTAATATTGTCTAGTGGAAAACAGGTTGGAATGTTGCAGTTATGCAAATCACAGGAGACCGGTTGTAACCGAGCCTCTCAGGAAACGTACAAAGTTTGTGTTTTGTAGGGATAAATAATTTAAATTACTTAAGTTGGCTGGAGCTGTTTGGGACATGGCTCTCCTTGAGACAAGGTAATGTGTAATTTTTTTTTTTTTGGCGTGAATTTTTCATGATTATTAAAAAAAGTTTTAGCAAGACACAGGTTGGGTTCAGAAACATAAAACAACATTTTTGTGCACTCAATCTATGTAACAGACTTTAAACCGCAATTTCTGCCTCAAGTCCCGAGGACGAATGGGAGCTATATTCTGTGTTTATAAAGCCCAAAACAAATATTCTGCTTACTTACCCTTTAACCACCTCACTAAAATGGACCGTCGTTTCACCTTATTTGATAAGACTATAACAAAACATAAGCAGCTACTGTATCAGCGTCGATGTTTGACGACTTTGACCTATATATATATATATTTTTAAAAACGGCTAAGAAGCTCAAGTCCAACAACAGAGTTCTCGTTTTTCTCTGTTACTCTGCCTTCTTCTCTTTGACAGCAGGTCTTCGCAGCGCCGCGCTGATGCTGCTCCACACCTCAGTGTACAGCAGAGTGCCCAGGAAAACCACGGAGGTGCCCAGCCAGTGCCAGACGGAGATGAACATTACGTAAACATTTAGAGTGTTTAGAATATCCATGAAATTACACTTAGTTGAACGCCCACCAAAAACTTCCATTTCCCAAAGATAAAAAAAGTTGGCGCGACAAGACAGTCATTTAACATCAGCTGAGGAGACACAGTGAGCACCATATATTCAACAATAGATGATTGAAATACAACTGCTAGAAAGGAAAAGAGAACATCAGGGAAGGATTAGGAAAATGTAAGGAAAGGTTGGGTGATAGCAGAGGATGTTGATAGTCGGATAATATTTAGCAAAATCAATTCACTAGTTTAAAGGTGAAGTTTCATTTTGTGAAAAATCCACATGACCTACAAAATGAAACCTTTTTTTTTCTCTACCAATTTGAGAGATCATTTTAAGCATGGAGTCAATTCAAGTCTAACTGAAATGTTACTAATCATAATACTGCACACTATTGAGGATTAGAAACCTAACGAGCTCTGAGGCTCTGGAGTAAAAATGAACAACGCGTTATTTAGAGCGACCAAAAATAGCTTTTAAGACAACTTTTAAAAAAGTTTTTTTTTAAAAAGAATTTTCCTAAGGACAAAAAAAACAAAAAAAAAAACAAACCCCAATAACACGTAATTAAACATAATGAGTCCCCCCCCAGTCTGTTTTATGTACGATGGCATTTATCTGCAGTGTTGCTGCCCTGTGTCTGTATTTTTTTTTTTCACATATAAAACCGGTTTTAATATTGTCTAGTGGAAAACAGGTTGGAATGTTGCAGTTATGCAAATCACAGGAGACCGGTTGTAACCGAGCCTCTCAGGAAACGTACAAAGTTTGTGTTTTGTAGGGATAAATAATTTAAATTACTTAAGTTGGCTGGAGCTGTTTGGGACATGGCTCTCCTTGAGACAAGGTAATGTGTAATTTTTTTTTTTTTGGCGTGAATTTTTCATGATTATTAAAAAAAGTTTTAGCAAGACACAGGTTGGGTTCAGAAACATAAAACAACATTTTTGTGCACTCAATCTATGTAACAGACTTTAAACCGCAATTTCTGCCTCAAGTCCCGAGGACGAATGGGAGCTATATTCTGTGTTTATAAAGCCCAAAACAAATATTCTGCTTACTTACCCTTTAACCACCTCACTAAAATGGACCGTCGTTTCACCTTATTTGATAAGACTATAACAAAACATAAGCAGCTACTGTATCAGCGTCGATGTTTGACGACTTTGACCTATATATATATATATTTAAAACCGGCTAAGAAGCTCAAGTCCAACAACAGAGTTCTCGTTTTTCTCTGTTACTCTGCCTTCTTCTCTTTGACAGCAGGTCTGCGCAGCGCCGCGCTGATGCTGCTCCACACCTCAGTGTACAGCAGAGTGCCCAGGAAAACCACGGAGGTGCCCAGCCAGTGCCAGACGGTGAAGGGGTTTTGGAAGTAAATGATGGAGAAGATGAGGCTGAAGAACTTTCGAAGTGTCACCACCAGAGTGACGGTCAGAGAGGTGCACTCTGTGGTCAGAATGAAAACACCACGGATGCATACATATCTGAGAGCGGCTGGTTAAAGTCTTTTAACGTAAATGTAGAGTGAACGTTTTTAAGCGCTGGGTTTGTTTTTTTTTACAGAGAAGAGATTCAGTCTTATGTGGACCGTCAATTTGTTCAGACTGCTACAGTTGATTGATGACAACTTCAGTTAACAGCAATACTTGAATTATTAAGGGTAAAAAAAAAACAAACAAAAAAAAAACTATCAGCTAGCGTATACATATTAGGGCTGTCATCTTATGTGGACCGTCAATTTGTTCAGACTGCTACAGTTGATTGATGACAACTTCAGTTAACAGCAATACTTGAATTATTAAGGGTAAAAAAAACAAAAAAACAACTATCGGCTAGCGTATACATATTAGGGCTGTCAGACTGTCCGGGTAAACTGTGTTAATTAGCTCAAGAGAATCAGAGTTTTTGGCTTCTGAACATCGGAATGAGTTGCTATTAAGTAGTAGTAGTTAAGTAGTCTGTTCACTGTCTGTAGCAAACTGAATTAACGAATTGAATTTGAGAGCTACTATCCAAGTGATCTATCCACATTGAAAACCAATATAAATATATGCTCTGTACGACCTAAATTGTTGTTAATTCTAAATCGAAACCTTTCTCTGGGGAATCGTCATCACAGTAGTTGATGAAATCTATTCATTTTAAGGATACTGTGTGATGACATTGATGAGCAGGTAGAGCCACATTATCGGAATGGAGCGTTCAACAACTGGAATCAGTACAGGAGCTGAAAGAAAAAAAAAACAAAGACACTTGTCAGACAAAAGAAGAGTGACGCGCAGAAATGTTTCTGCTGAGACTTACTGCTCTGACTGAAAAAGACACCATGCCGGTAAATGTCAAAGGACAGGAGCAGGAACCCGGGCAGAGGCAGGCAGTGCTGAGATGAATGAATAAAAGAAAATGAGTTAATCCCACTTCAGATGATTTTATTTTAACATTCAAGCACTACTAGAAAAACACCTTTTTTTATATATATTTCTGAAGTTATTCTTCATATTTTGGATGACCTACGTACAAGTAGAAGCCTTCACCCAGAAGTTTCAAACAATAGGTTTCCCTGTTTTGGTTCTGAAGCACTGTGCAAACATTCAAGGTGGGGGTAAACTTATACTATTTACCTTCTTTTTAATGCCACCTTTTCTTAGTCAAACACTTAAAGAACATAAAGGACAAACATGACAGAGACAATGGCTTGTCTTCTGTGCTAAAAATTAGCTTCTGGTTCTTAATATTCAGTTTAAGCACTTCAGAAAAGGGTGCAAAAGAGAAATAAAGTAAACGTATAGACCTGCCTAAAACAGCTGTGTAGTGCTCTGCTCAACAGCACATTATACTACATTTGAATATTATTAAGTAATTTGAAGCATTGTAGGAACTTAGTAATTGAGAGAAATAAAAAGCACAAATGATGTCAATAATCTCACATTGTAGAAGAGAGCTTCTTTGGAATGTTTTCCATACTTCTTGTACAGTGTCTCCTGAAAAATGCCCATCCTGGCGGACATTAGGAGAGCAAACGTCAACATGGCTATACCTGAAAAGAGAAAAGAGGAACCATCAGTGAACCGCATAAATGACAAATGGCAGACGAACAGAGGGCAAAACAACATCTGAGAGAAGTTGAAAAAACAAAAAACAAAAAACATTCATTTTATTTTACTGTATTTCACAATATTCCTAGAATTGCATTCATGCACAAAGTTACGCAGTGATAATAGATTGGTTGACAATAACAGAACACTTACCTATAAGCCAGTGCATAAAGGCGTAAAATCCTTCTTCTGATCCCTCCTTGGCCACATTCTGTTGAAAAATGAGTTACAAAACATCGACACACGTTACAAAATATTACCTATAAATACTGGGTTCAAAGTCTCTGCAGAACAAGCAGCAACAAGGTGTGCATAAAAGGATTACTTCTCCAGAGGCTCACCACTTGTTTGGCAGACATGATGGTGCAGATGAAGATTCCAGCGGACACTAAGACTATAGACAAATATTTACTGGTTGAATATCTGCAAGAAGAGAGGGACATATAAGCACAAACTGCAGTCATTCCACCCAATGGCGGCGGCACTGTAATTATGAAGAGTTGAAAGATGACATTTGGATCTGCAGAAGCTCTACCTTTTCTTCAGGATGACGATGCCAAGGATCATGTTAGCGATTAGTGACCCCTGCAAAGACCCAGGCAGAAGGTCAGCCTCACAGGTCAAGGTCAAGTTCAAGAAAAGAAAAGTGAATGAATCAGGAATTCATACCGATCTGAAGATCATGTGCAGCGGCATGGAGATGTTGAAGTTGAGCGCATAGTTGTTGATCACACTGATGGTGAAGAACATGGCCACCATAATCACATAGTTCCTGGAAAAAAGGGACATAGAATTGTTGAAACCTCTTCATTCTTTTCTGCAGCGGAATCTTGTAAATGTGTTCGTTTTGTTGATATATATTACATAGATTATTTTTTTTACCTGATGTGTATGGCTGGTTTCCTCCTACCAAAGTTTGCCTCAAAGATGAATCCTTCCAATGCAATGAATAAAAACTGTGCAAAGGTGACAATGTTGCCACATCCTGGAAAATCTCTGAAGAAAATGGAGATAAAAACAAAAACCGATGGTTCTGATACTATGTTTTTTTTTAAAGAATGCCAAAGATACCATACATATTGTACAGACTCAGCTGTGTTGCCTCTGGTAATTCTGGTCATCAGGTTGAGAAATTTTGAAGACATGTTCATTCATGTTCTCACATGTTAAACTATATTGTATTCATTTTTTTTCTAAAAGAAAACCAATTATTTTACTTGTTGACTAAACAATATTGTATTCAATTCAATTTTTTTTTTTTAAAGAAAACCAATTATTTTACTTGTTGAAATGTTCCATGTGTCATTTGGTCGCAAACATGTCCCTGAATAACTTGTGTTTGACTTGTGTTTTGCATGTTCTCTCAGTGTACCGGTCTGGTTTGTCAAGTGCTCTGGGAAAGATAGTTCTCAAATAAGCGTACTGTCACAATGTTAATAAAGACATTCCTGGTGATTAAAGCGCTCACATTATTCACATTTTCAAAAAAACATTTGATGCATGATGACATGAAGGGCTTTGGTGATTGATTCCTGACCCAAGGTCATCTCCAAGAGACCGGAGATCTGAGACTATTTCAGTTAAGACATTCTGTGAGATTTACTAAATTACCAATATGCATTTTTACTTAAGCAATTTGAAATTGCTGTCAATTTCACATCTTAAGTAAATTCATACATTTGAGAAAATTATTCAATTTTAAAAATTGGTTGTGAAGAGGGCATTGTCAAACGACGGCCAGTCTTGTAGAACCTCACAAAAAATGTAGGCAGACTATTGTTGTCCTGTAAGATGTTCTGTGGGATAGTTGGTGACAACAGCTGTCCACAGAAGGCAATTAAACATTTAAAAGTAAATGACACAGTGTACGTGACCTTGTTTTCTAACAGACCTGCAGGGGAAATTTAGTGTTCTTTCTGTCTTGCAACGTCAACTCCATAATTAAAACTTAAAAAACAAAACAAAACAAAACTAACAGCACAGTGCTTTCGGGCAAACTAAAAAAAACAAAACTAACAGCACAGTGCTTTCCCCCAAAGCGTTAGACTTAAGGAGGGTTGCACAGTGGAACCCTTTGTTTCTTGCACTCTTGCTACAACCTGGACATTTGAATTAAACTACAAACTTACAAAACCTTCATAAAGACTTTAAAACGAAGATGCACACTCTACTAACAACTGTGCTGGCATTTGCAAAGGCAGTGGCGTTTACACCAGTTCATTTGAGGTACAGAGTGAAGTTAGTCACTGACCTGACAAGCAGCTCCAGAGAAACAACATTACTACAGCAGCCGACAAACACAAGAACAACGGCCAAAGCTGTCCCCATATTGGCTCTCTGCTGAACTGGGTCTCTGAGAAACGGCGTCACTTCATAAAGCAGCTTTCCGGTGCATGTTCAAGTGTCTAGTCAAAGTAACATCAACTCCACTCCCGGCTCAACTAACACGTCTAAATCTGAGATGGCGCTCTGCCTAACTTCCGGTGTTGATGGGAGTTGTAGTTTGATCCCGTGACTAAACAAGTTAATGAAAACAAATAGAACAGCAGCACTGCTGTAAAGACACAACTGTAAGACAATAAAAAGAAACGATGTATTAAATTTAATGGAAAATAACTAAAACGATTAAATATATGAAAGGCATGCTCTTTCCTTATTATGACGTCAATGCAGAACAGAGCTGGTAAAGATGAAGAGGTCCCACTTGACTCTAAAAAAAAGCTTTTCAATCTGCTGGTCAATATGTTTTCAAAAATATTAAGGATAAACTAACTTACCATTTTCAGGGCGTCGTTTGAAGCTATAGGATAGAAGCATAGCGAGTGGCTTCAAAACATTGACACAAAAAGAGCCTATGTTTATCAATATATTCAAATTCTTCATTATTAGATTTATTCTAATACACCAAAAGGGACAACAGCAAAACATTGACCATACAACATCTTAGGAGCTGTAAATCCAGACAAAAAACAAGACAAATAAAAGGAGGACAACGAGAAAAAAGAACAATGAAACTTTTACAATATATATTTTTAAAGCTGGTTGTGGTATGCAAATAAGGATGAACCAAAATTATATATGTGATGTAAATCACTTCAATTGTTTTTAATATTTACATGTCAAATATTGTTACTTTCTTTTACTTTTTATACCCTAAATAACAGTTTATAGGTCATATGTATGCCTATGTAAGACTATAATAATCCGGATTAGTTTAATACTTTTTGTTCCTTTTAGTTTAATACTTTTTAAGTATTAAACTTTTTAAGTATTAAACTAACAGGATTAGTTTAATACTTTTTGTTCCTTTATTCGTAATTTTTGGAGGAAAACAGGAAAAGTAAACTAAAATCTGTGTTTACGCGTCTAAAAGATTATCATTTTACATAGACGATCCTCCTTAGACAACCACGTCGTGACGTAAGTACGGAAGGGACGTGGTGAAACAAACCGCTAGCTTTGGCTTCAGGGTGCTGCTGCTGGCCATTTATCAACAGTTTGTTTGCCGCTAAGGTAGAAATATTTGGTCGTGACTGTCTGAATTTAGTCTGCTCGAATATATTCAACATGATTTCCCTGACTGACTCTCAGAGTAAGTGTTATGTCCTCTCGGGGCTTGCTTTTGACGTTCTTTGTCTCTTTAGCATCGTTTCATTGTGGAATTCGTGTGAGGTTAAAGCTGCAACGCTATTGGCTGAGAATATAATGACGTAAATGACGTATTTTCATTCTAAACTAGCGTATACAAAATATTTTTTTATTTTTTTTATTTATTTACTTACAGATTTTAGTGTGCATTAGGGCTATTTTAATATAACATTTATCACATTATGTAATATTTTGTGTTATTGATTTTAAGTATGTCGTAATACTTACAGACGCCAAGATTCAGTTTTACTTAACGCAGTGCTAATTGTTTTACATTCAAAAGTCAATATAGTTGCTGCACTCAACTATACCTGTCATTACTCTCCTATAATGTAAACTGTACTATACAGTACTCTAAGTTACACACTATATATTATACTGTACTACACTATGTTTTTAACAAGAATACTATTTTTAAATGTACAATTAACAAACAAGTATCATATTTGATGAAAACCTGAAACCTTATTTTATTAATTTACTGTTATTAAATCAATCATTTTTCTTTGTTCTTTGTCTGTCAAAATGTTCAGAAATAGGAATAGGGCTGACAGGGTTTGGCGTGTTTTTTTTGTTTTTTGGGATGATCCTGTTTTTTGACAAAGCCCTCCTCGCTATAGGAAATGTAAGTTGATGAGTGATGTCACTATGATGTCAAACATTTTCCCCAATGTTGACAACCAGAGGTCAAAATCATATTCATGTTATGTTTGTGTGTTTTCATCCTGCAGATTCTTTTCGTCTCTGGTCTGTCCTTTGTCATTGGATTGGAGCGAACCTTCAGATTTTTCTTCCAGAGACACAAAGTAAAGGCCACCAGTTTCTTCCTAGGAGGTGTGTTTGTGGTCCTGATTGGCTGGCCAATCATTGGAGTTGTTTTGGAAATCTATGGATTCTTCCTCTTATTCAGGTGAGTTTTTACAAAAAAGGAGAAACATATTACTCGAATGTAAATTTAATACCACTGTTGATTTTTCATTTGTTTTATGTAGATTTTTTTAAATATATATTTTTAAGGACATTAATTAATTTTGATCCACTGGGTTGACATTTTATTTATTTCTTTTTTATTTCTTTAATTTAAACAGGGGGTTCTTCCCTGTGGCAGTTGGCTTCATCAGACGAGTACCTATACTGGGTTCTTTGCTCAGTTTACCAGGGATCAGTTCGGTAAGTACCAGGTCAGACATGACGAGTGAACAAAAGTTGAAATTCTTTACATCTTGACTAAAGTAACAATATTATTATTTTACCATTCTATCCACTTTACACCTATATTGACACCTAAATCAGTCTATACACAACGCCCAATGATGATTAACACTGTCTTTCATTTTCAGCTGGTGGACAAAATTGGAGAGAGTAACACTATGGTATAACTGTTTTTGTACTGGCAAAGACTTTCAGTATTTGTCACTTCTAAGAGTTACTGTATATTTGACCGTTTCATTCCTTTACTGTGAACCGACATTTTTGTTCTACACTGAGGGAAAACCTTCAGCACGGGGCATTGGACTGGTACAAGGTTTCCTCACCCTTGTATTGTATTGTATTGATCACCATATGGACAAAGATGCACCTTTTTCTTCAAGCTTGGAAGTAGGACTCTTCATTTTGTAACGTCGGTGTGATTTAAATAACTTGGAGAAGACCTTTTGGAGTAACTGCTTCTTAGACGGTGTTCCTGAACAGTCGCTGAAAGCTTTTTATATATATTTTTTTTATGAATGTTGAACATTGAAATAAACAAGTCCAAGTGAAACATTACTGACATGAAGAAAAGTTACCGGTTGTATTTGATTTTTTTTTTTTTTTTTACTGTAACTTTGTAAATGTATATTTGAAATGAAGTGTCTTTTATAAAGTTGTATACTGTTTTGCGTAACTTTGTTACCTGTGTCTAAATGGATTCTATCACAGGGTCGTATAATTTCTAAATTCTCACTGTTATTATCAAATGACTAAACACATTTAGTCACTTTAGTTTATTTCATATTGAGCAGCATGACTGGAACACATTTGCTTTTAATTCTGATTACGTGGTGGTAAGGAAAACAAGGCCACGGCTCCCCCTGCTGGTCGGCTACACATCCTGCAGATCCTTCTGAATGTTCCACAGAGTGTTGGCACTAGCCTGCAGTTGCGCCACTTCACCGCCTGTCAGGGTCATGTTGATCACACTGGACACCCCCCCACCGTTGAGCACGCAGGGAAGACTGAGATACACCTCATTATTGATGCCATGCATGCCCTGTGGACAAGAAATGCTAAAATAGGAATCTTACTGATGTGAACGTGATCATACTCACTGCAGCTATTTCCTTTAATTGAAACCATTGTCCAAAAATATATTACATTTTCACTCTCAAATCATGTATGTATCAAATGTAGGTGTTTTTGTTTCATGTGGCCCTGTAATACATTTAAAAAAATTGACAAGGTCGTACCGCACCCGTTTTTGTTTCATGTGGCCCCTGTAATACATTTAAAAAATTGACAAGGTCGTACCCCACCCTCACCTGGTGACTATTGGGATTGCACCACAGACGACACAAACAGATTAAGCAATGGAAGATGAAGGAATGAAAGAATTTGCATCACCTTGACCATTGTGGAAACAGGATGAACCTTGTTCATGTTTCGGATGATAGTCTCTGTGAGGTCGGCCACACTCAGGCCGATGGCCCAGTTTGTGAAACCCTTCAGTTTAATCACCTCATAGGCACTGAGAGAGACGGAGAAAAAAAAGAAAGAAAAGAAATTAGAACATCAACAAACTTTGTTTTTTTGCCTTTTTTGCCTAGGATTCATATTGGAAATCAGATTTTTTTTTTTTATTCGTTGATTTAGCTTTTCTTAATTCAAATTTTTAAAAAAATGGATGATCGGGTTTAATATTAATGAGAAACTGAATGTACCTGTCCACCACCATTTTGTGGGTCTCCTTCCAATTCTCTTTGTCCTTGTCACTGCCAATGTCAGGGTTCAAGGTCTGCAGACTGACACCAGCGACATTTGCCCCACTCCAGACAGGAACTAAAGCACAAGTTACTTAGTCTTAAACCAGGACACTATTCCAATGACTTGTTTGCATTCCCTAAAATGTGTTTAAACATTTCTAGTGAAAACAAAAACAAACAAGAACTGGCTCTTATTTACCATCACAACCATCTTTTCTATTTGGCCAGAATGTCCAATCACTCCAGAAGGACATAGAGGAATTGAACTCACCACTGGTGTCTCCATGTTCTCCCAGGATCCATCCGTGGACACTGCTGGCGTTGATTCCAAGTTTTTCAGCAACAAGGAAGCGAAAGCGAGCCGAGTCTAAGTTGGTGCCACTGCCGATGACGCGGTGCTTGGGAAGACCACTCAGTTTCCAGGTCACGTAAGTCAGAATGTCCACTGTGTGACACACAATATATAAAATATATAGTGCTAAAGTAGTTGAAGAAACAGAAGTCAATGAGGTGTTGACAAGGACCTGGGTTGGAAACCACGACGACGATGCAGTCCGGACTGTGTTTGACAATCTGGGGGATGATGTGCTTGAAGATGTTGACATTTCTCTGGACCAGTTTCAGCCTGCTCTCCCCCTCCTGCTGACGGACTCCGGCTGTCACCAGCACGATGTGCGAGTTTGCTGTCACAGAGTAATCTGACGAAGAAGAGATTTGACTGACACGCTGGTTCTATCACACATCAACAAACCCTATAAACACATTCAGAGATAAACACTCACACTCCAGAGATAAACAGAGACAGAGACAGGTTAACTGATATCACTGGGGATGATTTGAGAACATTTCCAGCAGGTTACAGTAAGAATTAGTTTTATACAAATTACCAAAAAAAAAACAAAACTTCATTGACATAAAGTATGTGTCCTTCACTGGATTGAAACACATAACAAGACTGCAATTCCAAAGATTCTTAGTTCATTTATTTAGAGGTGAAAAGTGGTCAGAAGGATTCAGGATGCAACCTTACCTTTATCAGCCACCACTTTTGTTTTAAGGAAGAGGCTGCCATGCTGTAGATCCATCATCTCTCCTTTCAGCTTGTCCTCCATCACGTCCACCAAGGCCAGCTCATCAGCCAACTCCTGCACACAGACGACGTTCAGCCGGAGGTTTTGATTCAAATTAGGCAAAAACGTTCCATTCACTTTTCGGGGGGTTTTCTTACCTTGAGAAGGATGCTGACGGCACAGGCCATTCCGACCTGGCCCACACCCACCACGGTGACTTTATTCCTGGGTGGCTCAGGAGGACCACTGAAGATGGGTAGGATGAGCTTCTGCAGCATGGAGGTCATTTTAAATGCTGAAGAATGGAAATGAAAGAGGGGAAGAGAGACTTCATCATTTATCCCTGAAGCTCAGCTGATTTAAATGTAAAGGTCAGTACCGAGGAGGCGTTCCATGTGGGAACATCGAATAAACCGTGTTTATGCCCAAGGACGCATCGGCATGTAAGCGTAGAAGTCAAACACACACACACCTAATATCTATCTGGCTCAACGTGAAAAACATATTAAAATATTTAAAATTCACATTTTAGCATCATGATGTCACAATTTTTTGTTCTGGGGATTTTGAGGTTTTAAATTTTTTGAAAAAAATGTTATGACTAGAGCTGTCAATCGCATCCCCACATTTTTAATCCGATTTACTGTGGATTAATCCCAATGATAATTTATCAGGATGAATTTACATTCTTACATATGAGAAAAACTTTTTTTCCTGTAATTTCCTGGAACAGAAGGACGAAAATAATAGCACAGGCAGATGAATGTGCTTTAATGACTGGTGAATTTGATCAGATTTATCTCCATAAATTAGTAAATGTGATGCATGTGTATATAATAATTCGATGATTTTTTTTTTTTTTTTCTTAAGAGTAACTTCTTAGTAAGAGTCACTTTTTGAAAAAAAAAAAAAAAATCAGACGTAAATGAGCTTTCCTGTTATATACAGTAGTTATAGAACAGAAAAAAAAAATCAAACATGAAATATCAAGTTACGGCTTGAACTCAAACCGCTGTTTTCGCTGAAATTAACGCACTAACTTGTGAATGATTAATCTATATATATATATACAAAAACACAAACATCTATCAGTACAGATCCGCCTCACAAAAACACACAACTTTAGAAAAGTGCTTCCACATTATCTGAGGGTCGCGGGAAAATCCCCAAAGTTTAGAATGGATGAGTGCAATAGGAATTCATTTCTACGGCTCCGCTCAACTGGTGACAGTGCAGTTAAAGGTCACAGTGCAGTGGCACTGGTCCAGTCCGATCCGGACACTTGACACAAGACTGGATTTCTGCGTCACTGTCGCACGTAAAACTCTGAAAACGGTGTTTTTAGGAGTACTGATGGAGTCGTCCAGAGTACTCTCTCATTTGGAAAACAATATTTCCATAGCTGAAAGTGACTTAAAGAGAACACAGTAATGCGAACTCTGAGAACCCAAGGAAGACCCCGAAGATGTTTCTATTTTTATACCTGACCCAAACCGGAGGCCGATGTCTTAAATATAGTTTCCTTGACGTGCAGCTTGACCACTGCTGGTCTTCTCTGGTCACACAAGACTGCAGTGAATGAATGGCAGAGGGGAAGTGAATGTGGAGCCAATGAAACAACACGGTATGTGTAGGGCTCTCGTCTTGTCTTACGAAATATAATATTTAAAAAAAATAAAAATAAAAAATTTTAAAGGACTCCAGCATCACGCGGTCACCTCTCGATGACAACGTCGTCAGGAGGATACAACGATAGAATAGAATTAGGAAGATGAAGAAGTAGACGTGAAATTTATAAGAATAGATTGTAAGTTTATGTGAATAAAGTCGTAGTATCGTGAGGTGACAAAAAAATTTACTAGAAAAACGTACGTTTAGGAGAGAACTCTGTGAATTCAAATTCAACACATTTGAATTTCCCAGTATTACAATTAAGAGTAAATATTGCAATATTTAAAACAGGGAGAGCTGTGTGTTTTAACTGACCGTTCGAAGGACTTGGGGATTTGTTCTTCTGACAATATTCTTTTCTTCTGGTTGCGACACCTCTGTAAGACAAGGAGCACTGAGTAAAGACAGACGACCTGTAGGTGGCAGTAATAACACCTCAAGTCTAAGTGAGATTAAAACAAATAAAAATATAAAAATTATCAATTTTAATTTTCAATTTTATTTTGTCAAAGCTGAGTGAACATCTCTTTGCCACATCAACCCGACACTTAGCTTAGAGAATTCAAAATGAGTTTATAGCAGCCCCTGCAGAGGGAAGTCGGAAGCTACATTCAGTTTGTATTAACTTCACAAAGTTAGCTGATTGGTGAACGGTCCCCAGTTATTACCAGTGCCAGTCTTTGGCCCACTCACAAACACAGGTATCATGTTCTGCATCAACAACTACATAATATGAATAACGGTGGCATAAAATCAGCCAAAAAGTCACTAAGCTCAAAGCTAAGAAAATGCTAATAACCGCTAAAACTTTAATGTTGCGGTTGATCACACCACTGCTCAGCAATCAGAGAAAACTCTAGAAAACATTCAAATATACCAGCAAAATAAATTACAAATCTGGAAACTGCAAAAAAAAAAAAAAAAAAAAAAAAACCCTGAGCAAATTTATTTATCTTAAGAGTTTTTACTATGGCCCAACGAAACACACTTAACGTAAGATAGTTGTATACCAAAATATAAATATTTTGCATTTACATAAATAAACTGGTAAATATTCATTCTGCTTTTCACATTACTGGGATCTTGTGATGCGTTTCAGCTCTTACCTTTAATGGTTGGAAACACACATGTGGATCCGCAACATGCACAGAAGACGTAGAAGTACTTGACGTTTTACTGTTACTGTTGATATTCGCTGTGATTAAGCTGCCAAAAGAGCAAATGTGTTAGTTAACTATTTAAATAAATAATGCATTTCATTTTCGTCATAAAGACACTGCTCCAAAAACAAGGCAAACAATGTGGTAACAACCAAATTTATTGTCGATACACAGCCTACATCATCATAAATAAAGATTAAAAATCCTTACCCACATAACCCTTGTCGATTATGTCCATATTTTTTCTTTTTTTTTTTTAGCTGCCTGCTGATAGATCACTTGTATTAAGCAATGGTCAGATGAAGACACGGTGTCGATAGCATGATTTCCATATTGCATTTAACTTTAAAATATGTAAGAAAAAATGATTTAACAGCTTATTATTTCTTTTTTAGAAAAATATCAAAATAGAAACAGAGATGTCCCAGTGCTCGCGGCAAACGTCACCTCAGGTGAGACCCTCAGGACCCCCATGCAAAAACACCGACGGCATCTTCTAAGTAGAAATATAATCAGGCAGACATCAGATTTAAGAGACAACAAAATGTAGTTTGTTCTGAGCTGTGCGTGGACACATTGTCAGTCAAGTGATGTGGGCGATGTGGGCGCAATACAAACTGCCAGTTCTTCTCCAAGGACCGAAGGATCTGAAATCTATTAGAAAGAGACAATAAAAGAACACACAACAGAGGACTACAACTCAAAGCATGTAAACTTATACGGGCAAACTGGACACTTCCTGGACAAAAATCCAAACCATAAGCAAAAACTTCAATTTTTTTTTTTTTTTCCCTCGAGGGGCGCTTCAATCAATACTAACAGTTAACCATTTGCACAAAAATAAAAAGATGTTTGTGTCTAAACATTAACAGTTAAAACTCACGTCTAGGCTACGGAGTGAGCAGAATCACCGGTTCTACGTGAGAGAATATTTCTGCAACGTGTCGGTGAAGAAAACCCGACGTTGCTTAGATTTGACCTAAACTTGAGCCGATTATCTCCATGCTGTGATGTGGCCTGACCAGCACAGGCCACATGACGGAGGTTGAGCTGAATCCACCTGAGCACAATAGAAAAATGTTTTGTTCCATCTATATTAATCTATGACTAGAGAAGGAAATTTTAAAGTCTGTACAGAAACACATTCACAAGAGATGTACAATAATTTGTGCTTCATAAACGGCGAGCACTAAGTGCTGACAGTGTCCAGGCAAATGACCCGGCATGGTGCATTTGAAACTACAGTGTACGTTTAAAAAAAATCAAATCAAATCATGCATGGATAAACAGATCTTTTCCATTCTTCACTTGTTTTTCTACAGACAAGGGTTAAAATACACAAGGGGACACAAAAAAACAACTTCACAGATTAAAACCAACATCCAAATAAGTCTCTGCCACAAAACGGTGTTGTCCAGAAACGGGAGTTCCGGAGTTGAAAGCTGAGCATTCCGATTGAATTGGTCTTTTGTCCGTACAGGGAGAGAGTTGCTAAAAAGGTGAGTGAATTTGTCTGCTTCAGTTTGCATTCTGTGGCAGAGAGGTTGCACGGAAACAGCACGTGGGCTGCTGAAGGTCTTTACTTGCCAGCGGTTTCAGCAGTGATGCCCAGGTAGGCGACTGCGTTGTCCACAAATCCCTGGACCGGAACGACGACGTTGTTCACGACACCTTTGAGGGCACCGATCTGATCTGCATCCACATTCTCGTAGGCGTAGTACAAACTTACACACACCACAACGAGGAGGAGGAGCTTAAGCAACACAGACAGGAAACCTCTCCCGGTTTTGGGTTTGCCCAAAGTGTCGGCCACGCTCGGACGGGCCAAAGACTCGGAGTAAGAGCGGCTCTCCGTGTGAACACTGCGCTGCACGGGGGACTCGGTCATCCAGTACTCACTCGGTTTAATGGGTCGTCCGGCAGCTCCTCGGATCGGACGCCTGCAGGTTGCACTGGTCAGGGGGGAAGAAAATAAATATGAACAAACCAAGGCTCAATCTGAGAAGTTTGAATCTTGATGATGTGCCTTACATCGCAGGAAGTTACCTGATGCCTGTTGGTGTGCTAATTTCATTGGCTAAAATGTCTTCAACAATGCTCTTGCTGGCCTTCTTAGGGGTTTCTTCTACAACAACAACTTCCTCCACTACCTGCTGATGAAACATAAATACATTAAAAAAAAAAAAATTTTTTTTTAAAACTTTGTTGGCAGTTGTCCCTCAGTTGGTGCAAAAAACCAAACCACGGTGTTCCTTACCTTGGTTTGTCTTCTGCTGCTAGTCCTGACAGTTACTGGGGTTTTTCCTCTGCTCCTCACTGCCTTCTCCACCACAGGAACTGGCTCTGGTTCAGGGGCTGCTACCACTTCTATTAACAACAACAGCAGCAGCAACACAGCAGTCAAATACACGTTCTCTTGAACTTTCTTATATTTGGAAACTGTAAAAGCGTACAGCAGGTCGTTAATGCTTTTCTTGTTATAGTAGAAAAAGCATCACTCAGTGCTCACCGTCTTCCTTGTCACTGTAATGGTCGGAGTTCCCGTTGCTATCCGCTTTGGGGAGCGCAGTGACAGCTGTGGGCGCTTCGGGCTCAGCTGCAGGCTGCTCCATGAGCTTCTGCAGCTTCTGCTCGTACACTTTGCGAGTTGAGGCTAAACAGTTGGATGTGACACAGATACAGCGGATGAAGCAGAATGAATAAGTCTGTTGTTTAAGGAAGTGAGCTAGTGGCAGGCCTGCGGTGCATGTGGAGCAGAGCACATGGACAAACATTTAGGACACCCCTAGTGTTTTGATTACTTGGGAGCAGGTTTGTGTTTTGTGTTGTAATGTATTCACAATTTTTGTTTACACTGTTTAATAAAGTCAATTTAAATATATTTCTATTTAAAAACCATCACATAGGAGACATCGTTTTCCTTTGAAATGTGTTGTGGATGATTTGAACATTTTCTTTTTAAATTGCATTAAAATAATAATAATAAAAAAAAAAACGGACTAATTAAGGTGTTTCATTACTGAATCTATTTACTTTAGGAACAGATGTCTTGAAACACGTCTTAAGTTACCCACCAACAATGGGTCCTGAATCCACGCCATGTGCTGCCAGCTGTTGCCGTAAATCTTCATCAGTGAGTTCCGTCAATTCAACTTCTTCCGTGCGAGGCTTGTCTGTTTTTTTGGTGGCTTTCTATGGAAGAGTTAAAGAGTAGAAAATTCACATAAATATGTTATCTGGAACTTGTGACTTTTTTTTAATCACAGATAAATGATGCAAATAAAAACACATTTAAGATAAATTAAAAAAAGAAAGATACTTCACTAACAGAGTTAACTAATCAGATCATAAATATTTTTGGGAATAGGAACATTTATTTGGGAAGTTAAATTGAATCCATGGATAATATAGGCATATTTTGTACATTTTACTAGAAATATGAAGATAGTTATCTAATACATAAATTCAAAACACATGTAAAAGGGACCACTACGCATGATGCGTTAGAAAAGAATCAGAGGAGTGAAAGTAAATCCATAAAAAGGCATTTATATAAACTTACTCTTCCGGAACGACTTCTGTTGGTCACTACGGGAGCTGGTAACTCTTCATCGCTTGAGAATGTATCTGTAGACGCACTGTTTTTGCTGTTCAGCACGGTCAGGTTCTTCAGATACAGCTGCACATATACTTCTTTTTTGTGATCCCCGCTGGGTAGCGGCACATTGTTGGCAGCGAGCTCAGTCTTCAGCTTATCTTTCGTGAGAACTGAAGGGTCTGCGAGAAATTCTGCCATATTTGACTTTAACTGCAGCCTGTGTGATGTGTTGTCTTGACCCGCTTCAGCCTGCAGCTGCAAACAAACAGCAACAAACGATGAAAACCGAGGCTGATGAACAGCGCCGTTGTCAAACACGACTGGCGCCTTCCACGCTGCTAGCAGAAGAGAAGCAGAAAATTCAAATTAAGCGCAGAGATTTTCTATATAGCGCAATAATTTCATTGGTAAGACGTGTAATGGGTTTTTCAGTAACTTATACATGCATGTTTTTCAAACAAGAGTGATACAATAAATAAAAAATAACAATTGATTAAACAAAATATTTAGCTTAGCTACCCACCGGTCCACTTGCTTGTGTCTGTCCGCGGTCGCGAAGAGACCACCGACCATGTTGCGCCACCATTGGCTGAATCTTCGCAGTATTTCGCTCTTTGATTGGCTAGTTATGAACAGAACAGTAGCGGGCGCCGCCATAAAGAAACAAACCTGCCCTTTCAGGATTTGTACAAAAGGTTTAAAAACACAATCACATGTTTGATAAGTCTTACACGTATTTGCTTTGTAACATTTTGAAAACGTGTTTGATTTTGAAAAACGGAAATATGCCGGTTTAAACATCACGTTCGTGACAGTAGAACAACGGTAATGGCGGGTTATTTGTACTCGCTGTGACCAGTGCAGCTGCAGGTTCTTTGTGTGCTTTCGGCAGAAAAGACATGGACAGTTATCAGTAGAAATACAAACCCATCAGTCACAGTCGCAGCAGAATTGTTTATTTGTAATACATAAAAATGCAAAAAAAAAAAAAAAAAAAATAAAATTATAATATACAGCGTTTATAATTTGTAGAATAACTAACATTTTAAAATATAACGATGCTACACAGATTCTTGTATGAAGACTATGGTGGCAACACTGTGACAGTCTCAAGGGTATTTTCTGCGGCATGGGATGTTTTTGTTCTTGCACTGATGTTATTTTGATAATTATTTAAAGCTCATGTAAATCACATTAAATAAAAAATTAACACAAAACAGGAGAGGGCAGCATAAGCTAAGTTATAATATCAATTGCAGGTTGAGACTCGCTGACTTCAGTATCCTCCCAAAATGATCTGAAGTTATTTTCAGATATGACCTATCCATCATGTCACATTTCACACCATAACAACGATGACATTTTCAAGATTTTTGCAATGTAATATTTAATGTATATAAAATAGTCATTTGGCAGTACACACAACCCATGATGCCGGACATTACAACGACATTAATGGAACCACACGAGTGAGAGGATTGTGTATTTATTGCAGTAAACAGCTATTATAGACTAATCCGTTGTTGTATTGATTGATCGATCGTTCATTGACATTGCACGATCAATATGCCACCTGTCCATCAGACCTGTCTCTTTGGGGCTTTTTCAGGATGCTGCTGCAGAAACCGAGCAACAGAACACCCACTTCAGGTCCAAACCGCAGTAAAATACGGCACTTCATGTATAGTTCAACTTTTCCAGTTGGAGTTTAGGCGTACGAAAACGTTGAGCTCTTGAGAAACACCTCTTATGCTTTCTTTGTATGTAATTTATACAGAATATTCAAGCCAAGAATCACACAGGGTGCCTCTTTAAGCATAACAGCCGTGGCCTCTGAAAAATGATCAAAGACTCTGCTTCCATCATCAACATGTTCTTGATGGATTATTGTAAAACAAGTGCAAAAAAAAAAAAAAAAAAAAGGGAAAAAAAAAAAAAAAAAAAGGGAAAAAAAAAAAAAAAAAAAAAGGGAAAAAAAAAAAAAAAAACAAAAACACAGAGGAAAACATCAACACACACAGTGGAGGCCTGTATGCAACAAGAAAGTTGCGTTGACACCTTAAATATTCAATCTTACGTATTGTGCTTGGAAGACGGAGACACACACATCTACGCAAGCTTCAGACATCCGTGCCCCAAAAAAGGTGGATTTCTGATCACCTCCAAAAAATGTTCAACACAAACTCTATGCATGAGTTTATCTTGGATTTCAAGTATTTCTAAATCCCGGTCGAGTGAACCACAGAAGTAGCTGAGGAAAAGTCAACCGTTACCACCCAGAGAACGTCTGATCCAATTCCACTGACACGACGAAACACGTACTCCGAAATTAATCAATGGGCATGAATTTTCAGCGCACCGTACGTTTGTTGTCGTCTCATCTCGATGTATTCACATCACGTGGACCTCTTCACGCGAACAGACACTGGTATGTGCCAGTGTTTTTTTTCTTCCCCCTCTTTCTCCTGTTTTCCTGCAATAATCCATCACAACAATATTCAATCCTTACAGGATGTTATTACTCACTGCCAAACTAATTAAGATCAAGTCTGAGGCAGTTTCCTGTACCAGTGATGGTGGCGGCGGTGGTGGTGGTGGTGGTGCTGGGGGGGAAGGGTGGGGCGGTGGGTTTAGGATGCGGGCAGCGAGCGCTGTGTATTACACAGGAGGTGAGATTTGTGTGTCCTGGCTTAGGAACAGCCATCTAGTCGTGCTCACACAGTATATTTTCATTCTGTTGACAATCCAAACTCTACTTAAAAGGACACACACTTAGTTGTAGACGTTTCTGTCAGGAGGAAAAATGAGACTGCCTCACTGGCCCAAGCTGATGCCCATTTGGCTTCCTGCCTCTTTGTATTATAAGCACTACTCCATATATTTGCATTAGTATTATAATTTGGGCCTGCGCCGTTTTATTTGGCCATTGAGTGCAGAGACAAACTTGCTCATGTCCTCGCTGAACTTC